CGCAGAGACAGGCGGATCTCTGTGAGTTCAAGGCCAACCTGGTCTCCAGAGCAAGTTCCAGGACAGGCTTCAAAGCTACACAGAGAAACCCTACCTCGAAAACAAAACAAAACAAAAACAAAACAAAAAACTCATCTCATTTCTTTTCCAAAACATGTTGCTGTAAATTTGAAAATTTGCTACAGATACTTAAAGTAGAAAACGGCTTGAATTAGCTTATAACTAATCTTTCCTGCATTCTCTCAACATACTTTTTAGTTGAGCAAATATTTGGTTCTTTTTCCTCTTTTCTGTTATTTTTTTTTCCTGCTTTATTAGTGAGAGTTACCTGTTTCTCCTATACTAAAACATTATTTTGAGTGAGGTAACTCAGACACAGAAAGACAATTATTACATGTACTCACTCTTAGGTGGTTTTTAAACATAAAGCAAAGAAAACCAGCCTACAAACCACAATCCCAGAGAACTTAGACAACAATGCGGACACTAAGAGAGACTCACATAGATCTAATCTACATAGGAAGTAGAAAGTAGAAAAAGACAAGATCTCCTGAGTAAATTGGGAGCATGGGGACCTTTGGGGAGTGCTGAAGGGGGGAGGGGAGAAGCAGGGAGGGGAGCAGAGAAAAATGTAGAGCTCAATAAAAATCAATAAAAAAAGAAATTCCCAAAGAATTAATTTAAAAAGCACACCCATATTTCCATCTGCTTTGAACTCACAGAGATCTGCCTGCCTCTGCCTCTTGAGTGCTGGGATTAAAATAGGCGTGAGCCACCACTGCCCAGCTAGTTTAGAGTTCTTAAGACCCACATTATTCTTGATGAAATGGTCCTAGCTTCCCTCCTTGGAATTTCCAACCTAAAGTTGCTTTCATGTACAACATGTATATGTTTATAATAGATGAGTTTGGTAACTAGCATGACATGATTAAAAGGCTACATTTAAAACTTACAATTTTTCTAAACAAAATACTTTATTTTTTTTATTTATGTGTATGTGTATATATCTGAGTGTGTGCCCCATGGTTGCAGGAGCCTGTGGAGTACCAAAGAAGATGTTTCATCCTTGGAGCTAGAGTTTTAGGTGGTTGTGAGCTGCCTGATGTGGGTGCTGTAACCCAAATTAGGTCCTCTGAAAGAGCTCTTAATCATTGAGCCATTTGTCCAGCCCCTTACTATGTCTTTCAATGACTTCACTTCAAAGATGCAGTGAGACTCATTTGAGCCTGGAACTTTGCTTGGTGTTATCACTGTCTCTCCTCTCCTCCCCTATCAAATAATATACTTTAATTATTTCTAAAACTACACAATAATTAAAGCAAGTGGTAGATATGTAGAGGTTTTCCGAAAATAATAATAAAAATACTAATTAACTGATAACTTGGCTTTAGAACCCAAACAGTAATGAATCATTGGTGGCTCCCGTGTGCCTCTCTCATTCTTCAGGTACTCATTACTCTGTTTTGTATTAAAACTTAAGCTATGGGGCTGGAGATGGCTCAGCATACAAGAGCACTTATTATTCCTGCAGAAGCTCCAGGTTTGGTTCCCAGCACCCTCAGGGCTGTTCATAAACACCTGTAATCTCAGTTTCGGGGAATCTGATGTTTTCTTCTGACTTCCTCAGGTTCTTGCACCCATGTGGTACACATGCATACTCAGGCACACACACATACCCATAACAAATAAATAATGGTTTACATAAAAATTCCTTACAATATAAACTATAGCTGGTTTTTCTATACATTTTAAAAATTATTTTATTTTTTCTATATTAAATATTTGTATATTACTAAAATATATATTTTAATTTTAGAACTTCTTTGGAACTTGAAAATAAATGACATGTTGTTATATGTGTTCCTGGGTTTTCTGAAAACTCAAAATTATGAGGTATCAGTACCACAGTTACAGTTACCTACAGCCAACCATGATCTGAAAATATCAATGGGAAATTCCAGACATAAGTGATTTATTCATTTAAAATCGTGGCTCTGAGAGCTGGAGGTGCATCTCAGTGGTAGAGACTTCTTATTATATTTGAGGGCTTGGGTTGAATCCTCAGGACTGCATACACAGACAAACAAATAAAGAAAACGCGCAGCTCTGAGTAGTAGGACAGAACCTGATGCCTTCCTACTCCTCCCACTTGGGATCAAGAGAGCAGCACATTCCCAATGTACATACTAACCGCCTTACGGTAGTTAAGAGAAAATACATTAATCTTGTTCAATATATTTTTATAATTGTTCTGCTTCATTATTGTCAATTTCTTACCATGCCTTATTTACAAGTTAAAAATTGTCATAGCTATATATGTGTAGTGGTGGAAATGCATCCTCTGTGCCTAAGGACTATTGTCTTTCATTGTATGAAAATACAGTATAATTCAGGATCACTAGTGGGTAAAGACAGTTGCCACCAAATCTGACGACCTGAGTTCAATTCTTTGGACCCATGTGGTAGAAGGAAAGAACGGATTCCCTCAAGCTGGCCTCTGACCTCCACATCCAAACTATGTCACACCGGAAAAAAACAAAACAAAACATAATTTTAAAATTTAAAGGAGAGAGTAATTCAAATACCCAGTGTACAATGATTGTTTTCTTTTTCCTTTTTGTTATTGTTCCTTATCAATTAAGCTGCCACAAACATTCTGTGTGTACTGCTGTATGCGTACATGGGAGCAAGAGTTTCCCCAGGTGCACAGCTGGTAAGTGCTGGGTGACATTAGACACATAACTTTAAGAGAGACTGGATTGTTGATCAAAGTGCTAGTACAGCTTTACGTTCTCACTAGCAGCAGCAGCAGCAGCAGGAATTCCCATGACTCTTGTCTTCGCCAATCCACTTTTTATTAATAAGGTCAGCATGTAATGGTATCTCACTGTGGTTTTAATTTGCATTTCCAACAAACAAACAAAAAATAATAAAATAACCCACTTTAAAAATGTTCTACTGAAATCTGAGACTAATTTGAACAGAGCAATAAATAAGAAATAACATCTCAAAAATCCTGTGGCACTCAGTTTAAGAGGAATGTCATAGCCTGGCCCTATAGGCTTAAAATTTCGTATCTGAGTGTGTTCTGTACTGACTTAGGGTCCCTTTCACTGAGTTCTACCCTCAAGAATATGTAAACTAAACATGGTGACATAGGCCTGTGATCACAACCCTCTGAAGGCGGAGGCTGGAGAACCAGAAATTCAAGGCCATATTCAGTTGAAGTTCAAGACCAGTTTAGGTAGTAAGAGACTGTCTGAAAACAACAAATAATATGATACACGGGAGTGGTAAGATGGCTCTGCTGATAGGAAGCCCTTGCCACCAAGCGTGACCACCCAAGTTCAAACCCTGGAACCCACACAGTGGAAGCAAAGAACCAACTCCTGAAAAATGTTCTGACACATAGACAGACAGACACACACAAAACAGACACACAGCCAGGCAGCCAGCCACACAGAGACACACCCACACACAGACACACACACCTTAGTGTTTAAAACCCACCAGGTCTAGGGAACTTCGTTCTCCGTGGCTAATCTCTCCATTACAGTAGTCGGCGTCTCTTTGCCCGCTTCCTGCGACCTTTCCCGCCCTTTCCTTTTGGGAACCAATCATCAAGCTTCATTTTGGACCAATCAGCGGTCTCAGCTCTAGGCCCCGCCCGGGAGCCTCGGAGGCAGGCGGCGCCATGTTCCAGGGGCAGCGTGGTTGGTTCTGCCGCAGCGTCAGTCAGGACTTGAGGCAGTTCTGGGGTAGGAAGATGGGCGGGGCGGGGCGTGAGCGCCAGTGTGTCCCCGGAAGCCCTCCTCCCCCATCCGGGTTGGGGGCGCTTGCCCTGCTCCGCGCTCACACGTGCTCTTGCCTCCACAGTGGACGAAGGCGGGGCAATCAGCGATGTCCAGGCCGCCGACTTCCTGTTCAGCTGTGATGCCTCGCATCCGGACACGCTGAGGTACCCAGGGCCACCCACTAGGGCCTTTCCTGTCATCGTGTGCCTAGAGCCGCGAAGGGGAGTAGCAGTCCTGTTACCAGCACTGGGGAACAGCAAGTTTGCAGCCCTCAGTGCGAAGGATACCATTCTCCTTTCCTTCCTTCCGCCCTGGCCTTCTTCTACCTGTCCCTCTGTGTCCATTTCTAGAAAGACAGGCTGAAGCTGTTTACAGATTTCCTGGGAGGAAAATGTTAAGAACCAAGCAGAACAAACCAGAAACTTTGTTATTTTCCTAGAAGAATCCTTAGAAACCGCAAAGATTGGTTTCTTGTAACTAGTGTTCAGCACAACCTAGTTATAACACTAAATTGAGTCTAAGAGGTTATGCAAATAAACTAATGATTTATGGCAAAGTAGATTTGTTAAAATAACTTTATCTGCATCTCTCTTGCCCTTCCTCCCTTCCTCTCTCTCTTTTTTTGTTCTTGAAAGTGGCTCTGTTATGTCACTCTGACTGAACTGGTACTAATTTTGTAACCCAGGCTAGTTTCAAATTCATGGCCATTCTCCAGGCCTCCTGAGTGCCAAGATTATAGATATGTACCATCGTGTCCAGCAACTTTTCAAAAATTCTGAGACAAGTTTTTGCTATGTAGCCCTGCCTGGCCTCATCTTTAAAAACTACATGTGCCAAAAACCTACCTTCAAGGAGCTTGTATTATAGAATGAATATCCAATTTTTTAATTATAACTTTTGTTTTACCTTTGAGTTTAGCCTCTTCTCCTAACATATTTTAAATCTTTAAAAAAGGTTTGAAATGAAAACATACTTCTTAAAAAAAAAAAGGTATACTACTGTCTTAGTCACTTTTCCAGACTGTGATAAAACACCATGACCAAGGCAGCTTATCGAAGGAAGCGTTTATTTGGGACTTATGGTTCCAAAGGGCAAGGAGTCCATGACCATCATAGTGGGGAGCATGACAGCAGGCAGCAGCTGAGAGCTCACATCTGGATCCACAAACAGGAATTAGAGACCACCAGAAATTGCACAGTCCCTTGAAGCCTCAGATCCATTGCCAGTAACATGCTTTTCCAATGAAGATCCTTCCTCAACAGTTTCACCAGTAACATACTTTTTCCAGTGAGGATTCAAACAGCTCCACCATCTAGGGACCAAACATTCAAACATAAGTCTGTGGGGGCCATTCTCATTCAAATTAGGATATTGTATGTACCTTAGTTAGAGCAGTAGATATATGTGTAAGATGCCACTGTGAGCTATGAATTTAAAAGGTTTAGTAGTCATATTAAAAAGATATAGGCAAAATCAATCTTAAAATATTTTTTATTTAACCTAATATTGAAAAGATTATCATTTCAATAATCAACATGAAATTTTAAAATATTTTGTATTCTTTCTGATACCAAATATTAAACATCCAGTGCTTATTTTACACTTACACCATACCTCAATATGACTCAACATACATTTACCATTGCTACCATATTGGTCAGCAAAAGTCTGGTGTAATTAGACCCTTTTTGTCTCCTAGTGGGTTGCTGTAGAGAATTTTTAGATTATTAAGATGATAAAAGTCACCAGATATACTTAATTTTATAGAATTCCTATTTACTAGACATTGTTTATCTACTTTTTAGAAAAATAAATTTATTCTTGAGAACCTCAACTCTACACACTCAACAACTTTAGGCATTTTATTGTGACAGTTGTCTTATTAATATTTGGCATAATGGAGACACATATCTAATGAAATAATATATGCTAGTAGAAAAAGTAAGGGCAGGGAAATGACTTGGTGAGTAAGAGAATTTGCCCAGCATAAGGACCTGAATTTGAATTTCTAACATCCACACGTATAGACATGGTCATGAGTACCTTTAACACCAGCAATTGGGGGATGGGGACAGAGAGATCCCAGGAGCTTGCTGACCAGCCAGTCTAGCTGAACCAGCTTCTAGTTCAGTGAAAGACCCTATCTGAAGGCAATAAGGCAGAGGAAAAAACTCAATTCTGGCCTCTGGCCTCTGCATGTTATATACAGGTATACAGAATCGTGTTCATGTGTGTGCAACCACATACATACGTACACAACAAACACACATGCATATCACATCTCAAGAAAAACGTCTACCATAATGATTATCATAATATACTGGAATCAGCTGGAAAGTGGATTGCAAATTATTTTCTTTTTGACAGGGTTTCTCTGTGTAGCTTTTGGAGCCTGTCCTGGAACTCTCTTTGTAGACCAGGCTGGCCTCAAACTCACAGAGATCTGCCTGCCTCTGCCTCCAGAGTGCTGGGATTAAAGGCCTGTGCCACTACTGCCTGGCTATTCCTAGGATTTTCAGCAGGAATCTGGTTATTTTGATTCAAGTAGAATCAAAAAAGGTTATTTTTACTCAAGTAGAATAAACATAAACTACAAGTTCAAAATGTTATACAAAATCCAGAAATTACTTTAAGAAATATTGGACTTGTTTTTCTTACTACAGAAATACGAAGAAAAAATGGTAGTTTTATTTGGGAACAAGATGAAAATTTTCCAATACAAAAGGTAAGAGGGAATTAAAATACTTGGTTGGGATGTACAGTTTCAAAAATGTGAAGGCAGTATAATTTGTGATATATGCATCAATGATCCAAATTAAGAAATTTAAAGAGTATGCTTTTATTAACTACTGTCTGGTTTGACATAGTTTTTACATAATACAGTGGTAACGCTGAAGTGTTTTGCATAAATGAAACCATTCTTATAAGAAACTCAGGTGCAGGCTTAGCATCCAAGAAACCCTGGATTCAGTCCTCAGCCCAGCATAAAAACCAGACATGGTGGCACATGCTTGTAATGCAAACATTTGGGAAGTAGAGGCAGGAGGATTAGAAGTTTAAAAATACCTGTCAGAAAGTAAACCTGTCAAAAAATAAAATAGAAAAAGAAGAACAGAAACTTGAGGGTTGGGTTAGAACACTGTAGTAGACTGCCTCCTTGGCATATGAGGCCTTCGCTTCAGTTTCTAGTACTGGAAAAATAAACAAGAAACTTTGGTTTCTTTAGTCAAGAATATAGAGTAACAATAGGTACATGGTATTTGCTGGTGGAGATTCTGGTGAATTCTTGTGCAGTATCACTTGTTGTTTGTTTCGAGGACTGTTCCTTAATAAATATATGCAATATTGCTTTTTAGTTTTTGCCATTCTATTCAAATTTGTCTGTTTTTTACCTCAAAATCTTTATGCAGTAGCCAAATATAGATAATTTCAGCATGAAAAGAAGACAATAATAGATAATCACACATTATATAAAAAGGCATCAGTTAGTTCATAGTGTCATCATTTGGAAATCATAGCCTCTTCAGGATCTTTGGTTTGGAGGTGATAAATTCTGAAAATATCTAATCTCTGATTTGTCAATGTTCCTACACAAGTGATCATGATTTTTAAAAATTATTTGTCAAATTATTCAGTATACCAGTACTATGGGACTTAAAAGGAACTTAAAGATTATTTAGTTTTATAAATAAAAATGCTGACATAAACAGAAGATTTAAAAAAATCTGTTTTAGTACATGTAACCACATATTAGCACAATGAAGCCAAGTTTTCTTAGCCTCAACCTAATCTAATGTCATTTCTGTTAAAAAGTTAGTATAAGGCTGGAGGGCTGGCTCAGGTGACGGGCAGTTCCTGCTCCCAGAGGACCAGAATTCAGTTCACCAGTGAACCCCAGCACCTGCCTGTGACTCTAGCTCCAGGGCCTATGATAAGCTCTGCTGGCCTCTGTGAGCACTTGCCTGGATGTGGCATACATTTACACAGACACACAGACAGACAGATAAATAAAAATATTAATATAACATACTTTTATTGATTATTGGCTAGACATTATTTGATAAAGGATCTTGTCAATTCCTTCAAAGTACTTATCAGTGTTGAATATCAGCTAATTGTAATACTATAATCACATAATCTATATGTAGAAAGTTATGTTATCAAATGAAAATAACAAGGATAAATCTGGAAAGTAATTTGGAACATTATTATTGCTTAGGGAAGATTTATGATCTAAATACGGAATTTCTAACAATACATTAGGTATAAACATCTGAGTCATTTCTACAAATGTTTTGGAAAAGCTTAATATACTTTTAGTTTTGTTACAACTTCAGAAGTGAACATATCTCCATCACGATCACTTTAAAGAGGGAGCAATTTGTTCAGCTTTTTCTTTTTTGATTTGCAAGAAGGAGAGTCCTTAAGTCAAGAATTTTAAGAAAGTCTTAAGTCGATAATGTTTGATTTTCTCCTTCCTCCTTCCTTCCTTCCTTCCTTCCTTCCTTCCTTCCTTCCTTCCTTCC